TAATAATCCTCGTTAATTATGACAACGGTAATATCCTTATGAAATAAATAGCTATTTTACGCACGCTCCGGCCTGTTTTAAATAGCGATTCTGATGCAGGTAAAGAAATTTAGAAAAGCTAACTTGCTCTCTGATGAATTGTTCAGGCAGCTCTAAACGTTCTCTTTGAAATTGCTTTAAAATGTAATCAAATACTCTACAAAGAATGTAAACTAACATTTGAGTTTAACATTAATTTTTGAAGGATTTCTGAAAAATACGCGTAAATTTATTAGGAATTAGGATCTTGGATGAACCATTAGGGAATATATTGTTACCTTCATTTTAAACATATTTTCACCCAACCTGGACTCAAACTTGAAACCCCTTAAATCAAGGGGTTTCAAGTTTCAGCTGTGCATCTAACCAATATTTTTTTCCAAAAATCCGGCCCGTTATTTTTCGTTTTCATATGCCTAAAATACATATCCAAAATTTGAACCAAATCCGTCGAGACGTTATTTTGGAAATTGACAACGTACGTATGGAAAATTTTTTTATTGTTTAAAAATGATCTACAACCTTTGATACTGGTGGAAATCAAAATTAATTTGGAGAAGGAGGGGGGGGGGGGGAGTGCACATCGCATATGATACGAAAGACGTTAAATTTGTGCAACTTCAACTTGTGAATCGGTTTAAAGCGGATCTAGAAAAGCGGAATTTCACCGATTTTCAATAAACATATAGGTCAATTGCAAAGTTTGAACACAATCAGCCCAGGCGTTTGGCAGTTTTACGGATGGACAAACGGACTGACGACTCTCCCTATAAAGCTTCATTCGCTTTGCTCTGTCGCTTAATAATGAAATGTATAACTTAATATTCTAAAATCTAAAGCATGAAATTGTTATTTGCAATTTTTTACATACAATATAACAAATTTTGAGGACTTTTTACAATCACGCTTAAATCAAATTCTGATCTTGAAGGTCGATTCTGTTAAATAAATTGTTTTCCGGAGTGAAATTATTTATTATCGGCAAAGATTTCCGTTTGAGAATCTCTACGCTTCCCGGTCTTACGAACCGTACGAAAGCTTGCGGAGTTCTGCAATTTCAAAATCAATGAATATTTCAGTGTATATAAAAACCGATTCTCATTTTTCATTATGTTTTGTGTTGTTGTCAATTACACGAACACAACAGCACCCTGTAAAAGATTGCAAACTTCATTTTCTTTAATCTCTACTAATTTCTTGATTACTCACATCTGTGCTACCATGCACGCAATTTCTTAGCAAACGCAGTAAATTCTTGATGAAACCCCTATTTACGGTGCACATCAACGAGTTAGATGAAAACTGAATTTACATTTTCCTGCTCTTCGTGGATGCGTCGTTATTAAAACATTTACTAACGCTGCGAGCATAAATTTCAATTTGGAGTCTTATGAAATATCGAAACCAAAGCTCAAATTGTTATGGATCGAATTTTTCAATTTTCAGAAGTATCTATTTTAAACACTTAATGTCCATTGTGTGCAATCGGGCACTATGCTTCCCTTCGAAAGTAATGTCAGAGTTTATGGGGATATTTATGATTTATGGGGTTGCTAATAAAAAATGAGAAAAACCTTTTATGTGTAATGAAGAAAGATTGCGCTATGGAATCATCTCCTCGTATAGTTTTCACGGGAGCTTTCGCTATTGCGTTGATTATTCTAGTGAAATTGTAGAAGTTTTCGTACAGTAGTTCTCAGGTGAGAGTACCTATGCAATAAAACTCGATATTTGTTGCGAAATTTGAGAACTGTTAAAGTAATAGCAAACTTGTATTGCGGTTTTCTCGTTAAATTTAAATTGAAGCAATTCGTCTAGCATCTTTTACCTACGTAAACTACAAGAAGTTCCTAGATTAACGATTTAGAATTAGGTGGTGCCTAGTTCAAACTCCCACTCGATTTGACAAATTTTGATTTAGCTAATTTCCTAGCTTTTGGACCGCAAAAAAGGCGATTGCTAATAATTTATTAAGGACATGATGGTATTTGGAGCTCTTACGGTTTTAGCTTATACAGAATAGTACTCCAATTTTACATTTTAAAATCTGTGTTTGTGTATCAATTTTGCAACTTCTTCTTATTTTCTGCTGAATGATACAACTTTGAGGAATTTAAAGTTTATTGATTTTTAACTTATCCAATTTCATGTGTAAATTTATAGTGAAAAACTGAAAATCTACTTCCGACACGACATAAGTTTCATTTGATGTGGTTTTCTGGTGCTCTCCACAAACCAAGATTTTTACATCATTTTAAACCACAATACGTGTTGGAATTTATTAGACTGATCAATGTATTTAACAAAATATAGGATCTTGAGGCAGTGCGTTATTAAAAAAATTAAACAAAAAATCTTAATTGAACAGTTTTTTTTTGTTTTCAGGTTACCCGTCAATCGAAATTAGGGTAGTTTACGTTTACATTGCGACACGTCAAATTTGACAACTGTTTGCTACCGTTTTCATTAATTTATCGCGTTTTACTCGATTAACCGATAAAAAATCCGTTAGTTTTATAAATAATACCAATTACAGATGCCGTAAGTTTCGCGAACATATTCTGCGCTAAAAGATGTATAATCAAAAATGCCATCGGGTTTACCAAGAAAAAGTAAACAACTTATTTCTAACCTTATGCGTTATAATTGTGATGTTACAAATAACTATCGAAACATTTTGTTAGTAATTGATCAATAGAAGTCGCTGCCTTACCCACTGTTTGTATGGCTGCCTACATACGTATTCTCTTCCATTGTTGCATGATGCTATGTAAACATACTTAGTGATGACGTCATAATAAATCGATGAGTCTAATATTTCGACGTTTGATTCTTTTTTGCGCGATCGGTCATTTCTGACTATTTACCATGGGTGTTTCCATGACAGTACGTAGAATTTACCAGTTGCTATGATTACGACGACGTCAAAATTACTTACCGATCTAAAAACAGAACAGCAAAAATACTTACCGACGCCTTTTTAAAAATCAACAGTCTTACATTACATTTAATCTTTAATTATTGTTAGGTACATTAAACGTACAATTAGTGCTGTTGTTTCCTATGGCAAGACGCTCATAAAGTCATAAAGGAAGTGCAAAGCTAGTAAACTACATCAGACACATGCACATTTTTATGAAATTATTAACTTCAATTTTGACAAATAAACTGGTTACCTAGTGATGTACACCATACCACTTCGATCATTTCAATTTATTCTGCTCGTTAATTTCTTAGTGCATATTTATAATTGGTTGCATAATTTTAATTTCGATCGCGCAAAAAATGTTATAAGCACGTCGAACGTTAAGGGTTACCCTCGGGGTTACCGTTCTCAGACAATAATTGGAGTCGTCGCTTCGCTCCTCCTCCAAACAATTGTCTTCGAACGGTAAAAATCCCTTACCGTTCTCCATACTTAATATACTATTAGATCGGTCGATTCGTTTTTGAGAAAATTAGAAAAATCGTTATTTAATTTATTTTATGTCATACTTGATCATTATTCAGGTATAATAATCCTAAATCAAGATATATTAAATGACAAATAATGCACTCCACCATGACAACCCCAATTATGCGTAGCAACGGGCGTTATGTAAATCCTATAAATATGGAATAATGAATCTATACGAACTTTTTATTTCCAACAACTAAGTAAAAAGAACTGTGTTGATGTCGCATTATCCATTATTCTTTGAAGTAAAAAGAACAATTCTGGGACTGTCCAGAGAACACCGCACCAGCTTGGCCCAGACCCATACATTTTCTTTCCTCTTTGTACATCAGATACTGCGGATCAGGTGCTTCTGTAAGAAAGGCGACTATCTGTTCGCGAGTAAGGATTTTTGATTTTTTTGGACGATAGCTTTTCTGAACTTGTTTTAAATACCCTTGTAGCTGCACAAATTTTTCGAAACTCTTATAAACTTCTTCTTTACCATTAACTCTTTACGTAGCATTGCAAATTTCGTCCAAAGCGAATTGGGGGAAAATGACTCTGACTGTAAATCACCTTTCCGATTAATGACTAATAAAATTACTTAAACATACCAACTCTTTGAAGTAACCCAACATAACGGTTTCGTTTATTGCCTCCACAGAATTACTCACCATCCATTTTTCAAAAGTAGCGTACTCTTTTTTATAAGAGGATTTCTCGCGCAAGAACGTGTGCCTGGTAAATGAGACGCTTCGTCTGCCATTTTTCAGAAAGTTTTTAGAATGTTTGACAAATATAATATCTATCTCCATAGTTACGACCATGGATAACTTAATTTTGATGATTCTCATTATCTTCTCTTTTAATCATCTGTCACCGCTAATTCTTGGAAAATCTTCAAGTATGACATAAAACGTTGAAGGCATCACGGGCGTTATGAACACAACGCCCACGGTCAACGTATAACCCTCGGGCCGGAGGCCCTTGGGTTCTACACTGTTGACCTGGGGCGTTATTTAGTTCATAACGCCCTTGATACCTTAATAACTATAATCGACCTATCTTAATTTGATCAGATAGAAAATAAAAACAAACAAAATTATCACTTATTTGTTGCTATGGGAAAGAAAGAATTTAATCTGCTGTCAGTTACCTTTGTGAAAATTTTGGGATAAAGTTTTAAGTAGTTTTTTGTTATAAAGTTATCCCCATTGACAAATATTTGACGTGTCTCGGTGTTTTTTCCTTTAATCAGTGGTTTTCGATAAATCCGTGGTGGAAAATGTTCAAATGAACACCCTGTAAGTAAACGCTTCTGGAATTTAAAATCTTTGCTTTCAATTCGATAAATTTGATCGTTTTTAAACTGCCTGGTTGCAGTTTTTGAGACTGACAACCAACCACCACGTTTTCCTATTAAGAAAACTTTTCCGAAACAAAAGACGTCCAAAATGAAGGCGCGGAATGTCGATTCGGGGCACACCGTTAGTATAGAATTTGTATATAATTAAACGCTTACCTGATCTATAACAATTCTATCTCCTGTAGGATCCTCCAAAACATGAGCAATGTGTGAAACCCCTGTAAAATAAAAGATCGTTACTTTCACTTTCAATAATGTTATTTCAGCTGTAAGTTTAATACCAATAGAAAGCAATGAGCAAATTTTCATATGCTCACGAAAGAGTCATTAAGAAGGAGACGAGAACGGGTGTTTGATTGCGTCCCTTATAAGGGTCAATAAATAAGACTTCTAAATTAAACTTATACCAAAGAGTAATAAGTATTCTTTGCTTATACAAAGTTCTATATACCAGCTTAGGATTTAATAAAACTTTAAACGACTTTCTTAATTGACATTAAATTTTTTTACCAATTCTCGCGCGACGGTTTCGTTTTGCTATAGTCAATACAGTAGATATGTACGACCTTCTGTCACATAATTTGTGCTACTTTCTAAGTTTTGGTACTTTTTACGCTTTGAAGCTATACTTTCCCCAAAGTCCAACATAATGCCATGGTGGTTATTGACTGTGACGAGTGACGTGCTAATAAGTTTCGTAATCTCAAGATTTAGAAAGCCCCAAGGCCTCAGATCGCGAGTTGTAAGAGAGAAAATGTGGAAAATTAGAGTAACACTTTCTTCGCTAATAACTATAAAGATATTGATTGCGGAGATGAAGGAGAGATGCCTGTAAATTTCGGGTTTAGCTTGTTATAATTCTAAATGGAGAGTTTCTCGCACGGATAGGCAAAGCAAATACGGTAACCGTAAGTGTTTTCCGCATTGTTTCAAATTTCCGAGTGCGTGTTCAAAATACTCGAATCGAACAATGCAAATGTAACCAGTTCACGTGGATAAAAATAATAAATTACGCCGAACGCACGCGCGGGAAGTTTATTAATTTTATTAATGACTGTTTCATTTCCTTTGTGTTACTTTAGTTTATTTTAGGGGTGGAAAATTAATTGCGTTTGATTACAGTGGTGGTTTTGAACTGTATACGGTACTTGATTCATGAGTTGCACCGCAACAGTTGAAATTAATTCGTTCTTCTCACCCCATTTCTATGCGACAACTAAAAGTCTATGATGCCCTTTTTTCAATTAGTTAATGAGATCTTAGGGCGATAGCACTTAATAGTATGATTAAGGGCGAATGTCGTAGTCGGTGCGTTCATTAACAAAGCAATCGATTCAATACGTTTGGCATCAAACTTATTATAGTTATCATGCTCCCATTTGGTTTCAAATTAAATTAAGCGAGGCCGATATTTGTCTACGAAAGTTCTAGTAGAAAATTCTACAAGCGGAAGCTCAATGAGAATAGGATTCCTTATACCTAAACGTCAATAGTTTCAATTGGCTGAAATGACATATCATAATTCTTAGATTCATGCTGTATACAAAATTCTACATCTACTTAATTTTGTTTTCAGCGACCATAATATATGGAAGGAAAAGCCGAGCTTCTTTTATAACAAAGAACAAAATACTAGCGGCCGGTATAATATTTATATTATATTTCAACACAAAGGTGAAGGAGTTTTCAAATTTTTTATCTGACGCAATACATATATTACCTGGACCTAAACATTCCCGCTAGACGATTTTATGAGTTACGTAAAAGTAAAAAAAATCGTTACTCAAAATTCAAAGTTTAAAAATTGTAGTAACCCTGAACGAAAAACCAAAAGAAAAGTTCGAATACGACTTATTGCAATTCGAGTTTTATAATCGAAGGCAAAAAGCAGTGCGTAGAGTTCTCGATGGGGACAGAAAAGGGTGTAATTTAGGACTGGAAGAAATGTTTAATGAATTTTCGCAAACTTTTTCAAAACCAAATGATTGTACTAGACATTCTTATATCCATAACTAAATCCTAGTTTAAATCATTGCATTGATGAGGGGATAAACTTTGATTACAAAGATGGATGCGCGTGTTTGAATAGGTTTTCCGGTATGCCCTATCAGGTTTGAATAAAAAATTTTCAAAATTCTTACCACGAAAGAGCGATTAAATTTGGTATCTGAGGGTTTTTGAACATGAACATCACAAATCTGGAATTAATTTTTGGAAAATTCGAAAAAAAAAGTTCCACTGCAATTCTTAAGCGGACAACGAAAATGGAGCGAATTCCACGAAATTTGTTGTGTATGTACATACATACTTGATGGGTTAAGGAACAAAATTGTCGAACAGTTTTTTAAAATAACTTTTCAAACAAAATTTATACTCATTTGAAGATTGGGCTTTCGGGTTACAAACTGTCCCCCGCCTACTAGTGAGTGATCTAATTAGGAGGAAACTTTAAGCTACGTAATTCGTAATTTTTGCAGCAATGTATTGTGTGATAAATATAATCAAAAGTCCTGGAAAAATCTAAAAACATCGAAACAGTTCAAAGTATAATTTACAAATTCAACCAAAGCATCTGAAATACTCTTTCCCTTATGAAAACAAAATTGCTTAGAGTAAAAGAGATTGTTGCATTCAAAAGTAGTTGGAAATTTGCATACTCATTGCCTTTTCAAATACCTTCGAGAATGAGGGCAATATTGAAATTGGCCTATAATTTACCGCATCATTAACTTCTCCTGACTTATACAAAGCCACAAACGATGCAATCTTTAAGTAAGTATATTTTGTTTAAGTAGATAAGTTGAAACACCATATATATCTTTAGATTTACTAATTTTTTGACACCTCTGCAGAATACATCTAGTTTCATTTTGAAAGATTTCATTAAAACTAATATCTGAATTTACCCTGGAAATTACGCTTATTTCTCAGACATCTAAGCCGTATTTGGAATGCCGTCAACTATTATTTGTGCCGTATTTACAAAAAAAAACAATTAAAATCATCAGGACTTATGCTAACCGATGGAGAAACGCTATTTGAACTTCTGTGTGAGTTGATAACCTGCCACATTGCTTTAAATTTATTGGCTGTTGCGAAATAATTATGTTATTAGCAGTCATTTTCGCCGGTTTGATTTTGTTTTTGTAATTAAGACGAAGTTTATTACTCAATCGTCTTAAAAATTCAGTTTTGTATGTATTGTACATATCAGTAATAAGGGGTAATTGGTCTTATGCAATTGTAACATCGCCGTGTTTTTAATTTAGACTCCGGGAAAGCACTCAAAAATGCAGTATAAAAATATTTATGGAATATTAGAAACTTTTCGCTAAGAATCCAGGTTGCAGTGATCTAATATATTCCATGATTGCTGACAGAATATTGAACAGAATATGGATAGGCCTCGTTGAGTGACTGGTCTGAATTATTTAGATTAGAATCAGCGATATTAAAGAATCACTTTCTTGATTTGAAGGGATTGCCATTTAAAATAACGATTCCGCCTTCAGAGTAACTTGTAAATACAAATTTTCCAAAATCTACCCATTTCGCTTTCCTAAAAACGTTTAAGTAATCTACATCTACAGCTGAATTATATATGTACATTTCAAAGACCCACCGGACTTCAATGCGAAGATTATTAAATCACTAAAGAATGTGATTGTTTATCCACTCACAAAGCTGATCAACATGTGTATAGCTAAGAGCGTTTTTCCGTCTGTATTGAAGACAGCGAAGGTCGTACCAATTTTTAAAAAAGGAACGCTTCCTCACGAGTCACGACAGTTGACTAAATCCCGGGAGAGGCGGCGACGCCAGGCATATGTCAAAATTTCAAGTTTCAAGGATCTTGCGCGAATCTGAATAAGTACCGAGCCATCTCTATAACCTCTGTTTTCAGTAAAATCTTTCAATCCGTTTTAAAAATACAAATTGAAGAATACTTTGAAAATAATCATTTGTATAGTGAGTGTCAATACGGTTTTCGTAAAGGAAAATCACCTTAGTTTTAAGTCAATTAACGCGATTAGTATCCGACGGATTCGAAAGTAATAATGTAAGAGTAACGTGTCTGGATTTTAGTAAAGGCATTCGATTGCGTATCTCGAACGATTTTAGTGAGCAAACTAAGGCTTTACGGCTTTGACAACAGTAGTGCAAAATTAATACAGTCATTCCTAACGAGCCGCCTACAATATGTCTCATATAACAATTGTCTGTCAACAATATCGGAAGTCAAACATGGTATGCCACAAGAATCAGTCTTGGGGCCAATTTTATTTCTTATTTATATTAACGATCTTCCAAATTATGATCCAAATACCTTATTAATTATTATCTTTTCTGACGATACAACCCTAATTAATCTATATGACAATGTACAAAATATTGAACCCGGTACGAACTCAGCTGTAAGTAAGGTAGAAGAATAGCTAATGAATAATGCTAAAACTCAACATTTGGTATTAACCCTTAAACGAACCAAAGTATTAAGCGATCGCAGAGAGCTAGGATTATTGGGAGTAACACTTGATTCGGAGTTGAAATGGGACCAACATGTTAACGTTCAGCGTGTTAAATTAGCTAGAGTCCCATTTTTGATTCGCAATTTAATAAAGGTGACTACGAAGGAAACTGTTCTGGCAGCATACTATGGCATATTTCATTCGGTATTATCTTACGCAATTCTTGCATGGGGCCATTCTGCCCACTCTCGAGCATTATTTGGTTTGCAGCGCAAATGTATACGATTATCAAAAAACCTTAAATACAGAGATTGTTGTCGTCAGGTTTTTATCGAATGAAATATATTGACATTACCCTGCATTTAGATACAGCAATGTTTAATATACCAAGGAAAACATGGCTACACTAACTGTAAGCAATGATATTCATACTTACAATACAAGGAACAAAGAGAATATTATACAGTTTCATAGATTAAATAAGACCAAAAATGGCACTACATTTTACGGCATGAAATTTTTCAATGTCTTGCCAAAACAAATAAAATATTTAGATTTGCAGGCATTTAAAAACTTTGTAAATAGTTACATTAAACGAAAAGCTTTTTATTCTTATGAAGAATTTTTAAAAGATGAATTTGATAACATTTAAGTTTTAAAAGCAACAGTACTTTGTGTGATCATGTTCTCGTGTCCTTCCTTTCTTTAAATCTTATGTAATTGTACCTGATGACGAGTGAAAATACATGTATAGATCACAAATAATAAAAGAAACTATAAAGAGGCGAGGAGACCCAATTATTATATGGGAAAATGATAATACATACATAAATAGCACCG